ATGAGTATAAGGATTTTCTGACATAATATTCATAGGCTGAGATGCGTTTTCTTGTCCAAAACGATGAGCTGATTCTGTACTAATAGGCCTCGACAGATTTGACATGTCGCTTTGATTTCCGCAGTCATCTTTAATCTCTTGTTTGAGTTCTACTCCAGGTTCTGATTTGACATTTAAGCCTTTACTGTGTTTTTCTGGTGCATTAGGATCTTCAAATGGTAACCACATATTAAATTCCGCTAACCAATTTTGTAATGTATTAATGGGCATGATACAAAGAACTGTTTTAGCTGTAGTACATCGGAAAAAGATATCACAAAAACTAGCAACTTGAAGAGTTTTTCCTAAACCCATACTGTGAGCGAGAATACACCCAAAACCGGAACTAGTTTTGTACCTTTCAATGCTTTCAACAATATTGTCATAAAGAAAACGAATACCACCAATTTGATGAGGTTTAATGATACGAGCTACTTGTGGTGCTAAAAACACATCAGGCTCAGTTTCTGGATGACCCACATTAATCAACACTCTACCATGTTCATCTGGAATGTTATATCTATCATTGGTGTGCATGCCAGAATTGGATGGATCATCTTCGTTGTCGGTTTCTTCCTCACCACTTGGATCGCTTAAAACTATACAGTCGTCATCTGAACTTTCGCTAGAACTAGATATTGTTACTACATCTTTGCCCTTAGCCATTTTCTGAGATTTTAATCCAGCTGATATTTTTTTAGTAATATGCATCTGTTTCTCGCGCAATGCTTCTTCGGCTTCCAGATCCGAGAGTTCAGAATCTGAGTAATATTCAGATCTATCCATAGGTTCCTTTTTAGGAACAACAGGTGATATACTCACAGAAGGTGTCATCATTCGAATTCTTTGTTGTAACATATTGGGTCCAATTGGACGACTCGGAACTCGAGAAATTGATGTCTGCGCTCCTTGATAGACACCCCTGCCCTTTTGCCAACGAGATCCATCTATCGATCTTCTTTGCATTTGATTTGGTTGCATACTAGAAGTAGTCTGAGACCCAGCCCCAGATCCAGAATTTACTTTAAGAAGCACCGTATTAGGCAAACGAACCGGTGTAGGTGAAAATGATGATGAAGATGATTGTGAAATAGTAGTTCCTGCTTGATTTTGTTTTCCTTGTAGGAGGCTGATTACTCTTGTTTGCGTTTTATTATTTTGTCTATTTATTGCTATTTGTCGTTGAACTTCGCGAATAATTCTTTGTTGCTCTTGTACCCTTCGGAGTCGCTCCATCTCTTGTCGCTGAGCGGATAAAGTAGCTTCATCAAGCTGGTTCTCATCCATTACCTCCCGAATGTTTCTTCTCATATTTGCTAATTTCTTTTCCGCTTTCGTTTCACATTCTGATGCACTCCCCTCGGTTCCATCGTCTTTTCTTTGTTTCTTTTTGGCTGTATCAGAAAGCTCTGAATCAGCATGTCTCTTATTACTTTCGGAACTTTCATCCTCCATGGAATGACCTTCATGTTTGTCACTTTCATGATCTAAGCTTTCTTCATCATCTGTGTCTTTTGAAATTGATTTTCCTAGTAAATCAGCTTCAGATACTTCTTGACCCTCTATTGGAGCTCCTTTTAATATAATTGAGAATTATAAACACGAAATAATATTACTGTATATCCTAATTATAAAAAGTGATATTATACAAACCTTCCAATGGTAAAGTATCCAATATATTAACCGGTTCTTCGTCATCCTCTTCTGGTTGAGAGTGATGTCGTTCTGATTCCATTCGTACACCAATTTGGGAATCAATTGTTTCATCTAAATCCATATCGTCTCCTGATCCTTCAGAACGTATTTCTTCTATTTCCTCTGACTGTAATGTTTCATTTTTCTTTTCACGTTCTCCATCAGTTGATTCACCACTAGATTCCTCTGAACTTTCATCGTTTCCTGTTTGAGGTTCTATATTATTCATGTTTGTATTTGTTGAAGTTTCGTTTGAACTTAATGATTCGTTAGGCTTAGAGCCTGAACGAGGAGTCACGCGTTCTATAGTGACATCCCCAATACGTGTTAAAAAACTGTCCAAACTATTAGACATGATGTGTACAGTTCATTAAGTCACAATATGTTTTAGTAAAATTTTATATGAAATCATGGAATGTCTTGCCACTCTTCTGTGTAACACTAATATTTATGTTATACTGTGTACCACTTACATTATTTACCCATAATTTTATATCCTTTCATGCCTGTAATAAGAAATGTATTCCTTTGTGAGTTAAATACTAAGAAACATTGAAATCCATTATATTAGTACAATGATTAGAAAAAGAACTACAAAATTAAGAAATTTTAGTCCTAAAATAGTCTAGAAATAAAAAGAATCAAAAACCACAACTAATAATGCAACGCAGAAATTACAAAGTAAAAACATTGCACTTTATACATGTACTTAACATGCATAGAATATAATTCCTAAAATTCTCAATGTCGCATTTTTATATACAATAACTTTAAGTGGACAATAGATCATCGTATATTTGTGGAATACATTACTATATCACGTACAATTCTCTTAAATAATAAAGGTATCTAATAAATATATTTATATTTTGTACGAAAGTAAAACAAATATAAAATTTACTTTGTTACATACAAAGCAAATAAACATTTAACAATATAGAGATTGAAACATTTGCATGTTGAAACAGAAGTGAATAAGTAGCTTATACAGCTAATACATAGAAATGTTTACATATTTAGAAGGTTGCATGCGGGACATATCATCAAGGTATATGAAAACTTAAGAAAAGCAAAGTGTTTGAAAATAAAATATAAACTATGAATCATTCTAGAACACTTGCAATTAAACACACTTGTTGAGAGATCAGCTAGTCACATTCCCGAGCTTGCGAACATACTCTAACAGTAACGAATCGAAGTCGTACTGTTTAAAGAAAGGGTTACAGCGAACGCACGACATAGTTTGTGACAACGTAACCGCAGAAATTGCGTCAAGATATTCATAATGTTCCGAGTTATTTAAGGCAGAAGCTGTCAAACAGGGAGAACGAAAGCAGCTCCGAATGTTTGTTTTCGGACGAGCCGATCCGGCTCGACGATTAACACCAGGAAGTCGCGTCGTTTTGCAAACCGGCGTCGTCACGTATCTTGCACACGTCAAATTCTACCAGCGATCCGCGTTCACGACTGCTTAATTAGCCGTTAATTACGGATTAAAAATAATGACACACACATACACACGTCTGATGGACGCCATAGCGTCGTTGTTCGCCGCTCGACGATCACGGTTCTCCGCAATGTCCGAAGATCAGCGAACAAGCCTTGTCACTTGGGTTAATGCACGCATCCTTTCGACCTCACCACCCGATTCCTTTTCATCTAAGTCGCATGACGAGGTTACGAGAATCCACTTTACCATCGAAAGTTCACTTAAGTTCGCACGCGTCGCTCTCAAGCTTTCCGCGGCATTTTTTTTCACGCACTTTTTCTAACAAGTATATTCCACTCGGTGGAACGCCATCTTGGCTGCGCTATAAAACATCCGCTGAGTGATTGCGAGGGAACGACACCCACAGCTGGCTAAAATATGTCTCTCGAGCAATAAATAGTAAATTATTTATTTTATTTTACGACTCTGACTCGTACTTATTCAAATAAAATGCTATTTTATTTATATTCAGTTTTTGAATCGTATTTGGATGTACTATTACATTTACATTATTGTAGGAATTAGTAATAAATTTAACGTGGACTAGGGTTTGAACTATTCGTAGAATTTTTCTTTATTCGAATATTCGAACACTTGTGTGATTCAAATATTCGGCAAATATAATTTGAATATAAGTATTTAAAATACTTTGAATATCGTTTAAATAATTTTTGAATTTTATTTTTCAATGTTGAACTGTTTGAATTACCTATATTCAAATATTGAATTGTTTAAATTATATTCAAGTAACAATGAAATATGTTGAACACTTGTACAGTACCTAAATATTTTTACAGTTACTATGGTTCCAACTATACAAAAGACTTTCAGCAAAAGAGAAAATAGCAGAATTATTAATTGCATTTTGTTCATTTTAAAACTTCTGAAGATCTGTGTTCTGTTCAATTATTGGAATAGTAATATTTAAAAAGTATATAAAAGTGAACTATGTAAAACATAACATATAGCAGTTTATAGATTACTAATATAAAAACCTTAATTTTTGTAGCTTAATCTTTCTTCAGGCAGTAAACCTCAAGTGTACAATAAAATACAAAAATATTTTTAGGTTGTGCTCTTTTGAAGGTCAAATACTTTAACTTCTGTATATAATAAATAGTTTCAATTACAATCTAGGATTACCTATGATAAAAATCGTTTTATTTATAATGCCATTATGCTGTGACATAACAATTGTTCTAATAAAAACATTTAGTACAAAACATTACATGCTTTTGTTTTTTCTGTAAATATATTATTACTTTTAAATATACTTAACAAATAAGTATCATATATCTATAGTACGATATAAATATAGTTATGTGAATATTATGACTAAAATTAGTATGATTTCATACAGTATAGTCTAATAGAATGTATATAACATTCTAATCATCAATGTTTAAAATAAACGAAACAAAATAGTTCTCCCATTGCACATTTGATGTAAATTCACATTACAGAATACTGACATTTTAGTAAAAACAAAAAAGAAAAGTTTATCAGTACTGTAAATATGATATACAGAAGTAATAAAACTTCAATTTGCACTTTCACATGCGTCAATCCAATCATTGTATACATCCAGAGGTTCAGAAAGTAAATTTATTGTTGTTTGAAAATCTTCTAAGCATACCCTGCAGGTAATTCTTGCTGTATTTCTTGACTTATCCCTGTAAATGAAAAAGAAATTGAAGGATAAAAAATGTAAACAACAGATATTGATAGCAATTTTGTTATACCCACATTTTAACCTCACATGATTTCTCGTGGTTACAAAACGGACAATTAAATTGTGTATCTAAAGGTTGTATAGCTTTCTTTTTACTTGGAGGTTTTCGTTTACTTTTCCTACGTCCCATTACGCTTCAAGTATATAAAATTACGCGTATTTTTATTTAAAAAATTGCATTCACCGCGTAATGTACCAAGCTTTGATACTATTTGTGTTGTTTCAGGAATCAGCTGGAAACGGCAAAACACAGTACATTCATACAAAATTACTAGATTTATGTGCACTCACATGTACTTGAAAAACGCACACTTTCACATTGATAGCACGTTGAATAGATAATTTACTTGTTTTAATTGTTTTTTAATTTTCATTTTAAATATCTGAATTGCTGTATTGGTTAATTTGTTTTGGGAGGTTGGCGATCAAATATTATCCATAAAAGATTGCGTACATTGTAAACAATGTCTATATAAATATTATTGAGACGTTTTCTTAATTGTAATTGGGAAAATACTTTAATGTTAATGAATTAAGTGATTTTCTGATGCTATGAGTACTCTAAGTGTGTATCCTTTGAAACAGTAATTTTTTGGTATAGTATACATTTTTATAAGTTTTGCTTAAATAACCTTAATTTTAAATAGAAATTTATCTATACCTTTCCCATCGGCAAGGGAGGCAGAAATTATTTATCAAGTCCTTAGAGTTGATAAAGAGCCTTCAAGAAGTGGCGTTTCAAAAGATTTGACATTAAATAATAATATTTTGCAAGTGTAAGTTTATTGTGTATATTTATAATAATTATGTTTGTACATTACATTCCATTGTTAATGTATTATTTTTATAGATTATTTTCTGGAGCCGAAGCAAGAAAAGTCAGAGTAGCACTGACATCATTTTTTGATAGTTTGATTTTAGTAACTGAAACTATTCAACAATTTGGACCACCTGCGCCTACTTATAATTATTATTAAGTAAATATTATGTAAAATGGAGCATACTCCTGCTCCCTATGGACCAAGATCCGTTTATGGATATGCTCTGTATATAGGATCAAATATGCTTTTCTTTTTGTTCTTAGTTTGGGCAATAGTACCAGATCAAACATTACATAATTTAGGATTAACATATTGGCCTTCCAAGTATTGGGCAGTAGCAATTCCAATTTGGGCTTTAACAGCTCTTGCTACCTTTGCATTTCTTATTTATCCAGCTTTAAATTTATTGATGACACCAAATGTAGACGATATTGCAACTATTACAGATAAACATTCGCATCCCAAGAAAGAAACAGTTTCAGGTGGCATACCTCCTGTTTTTGATATTCCAATAACAGAAGTTTGTAGAAAATTATATTTACCAAAAAAGAAGTAAAAATAAATTGTATTATGAACACTAGTAATATTATGATAAATATATTTCAATCTTTCTTTCAATAAAGTATTTTTGTAAACTAAATATAATAACCGATCTATATCTGTTTAATTATTTATATGAATATATTTATAGTATATTTGCCACGTTGTTCTGCATTTTTATTTATTTTGTCGTTCTTTTCAAGAGATTACTCCCACATGGAATTGGTTACGAATTCCATGTATTACACAATCCGATGTTATCAAAATTGGTCTCATATAGTTCCGAGGATAAGAAGAAAATACGTAGTCGTAACAAGTGTTTTTTTCGGTGACACGATGAACAAATTTGTTCGGGAAAATGAATCACGGGAAAAACCTGTTGGTGATAGTGAATGCAATAAAGTTACGAGTTATTTTCCACCTAAAAACATTGGAAACGAAATCGTTGACTTGAGAAAATTATTAAAAGATTCATTTGATGCAAAATTTAGGTTTTGTAGTTTCGAGCTTTCACCCATAAAAAATAATGACTTTTATCAAAGGTTTGTATATACATTATGTATTACGTAATACATAATATGTATATAAGTATGTCTTTTCGTTATAGAAATTTGCCCTATTAGTTTTTTTGCAGAGATGAATAAGTATCGTCCACTCTTTTATGCATTAACGTGGCATACGAAAAATATGGCAAAAGATTATCCATCTTTAGAGGTGATTCGACAATTTCCAAGCAATACAATTCTTCATATAATCATTGGTAACTTAACTCGCGCAGATATACTAATTATTTTAAAGAAAGCATTGGATTCTGGAGTAATCAATATTTTTGTATTAAGAGGAGGTAATCAGATATTTTTATAGAATTATTTGAATCTCAAATTTCCTGTTTCCATTAAATATAGCTACCCCCCTCTTTTATTTTTTGATTGACTTTCAATCCGAAGTTTTAATTAATTTCCGTTGAATTTTATAAAACCGAATTTCCAGATTCTGCAATTGCAAATACTGACTTTCCACACGCTGTAGATTTAGTGCGTTTTATAAGAAATGAATTTGGGAATATATTTTGCATATGTGTGGCTGGTTATCCTGAAATGCATCCAGAATCGCCATCTAAGGAATTAGATTTGTTATATTTAAAAGAAAAAGTACATACTTTATTTTTACTTTATTTAACAAATGTATAAACGTTAACAATAATTTCATTTCAAGGTTGACGCTGGTGCTGATTTGATCATAACTCAAGTCATTTTTGAAGCAGACGTTTTTATTAAGTTCGTGAATGATTGTAACAAAATTGGAATCAATGTTCCGATTATTCCCGGCGTTTTATCCATTCCTAGTTATGCGTCTCTCGAGAAAATGTCAAAAATTTGTAATTTTAGAGTACCACAGGGTATTGTAGACATTTTACAACCAATAAAAAACAATGACGATGAAGTGCGTAACTATGGAATAGAATTAGTTACAAATGTCATCAAAGATATCCTTGCAAGTGGAACTACTTCCGGCTTTCATTTGTTCACATTGAACAGGTAAATTTTCAGTTCTTTTTTTCAATAAATAAAGGTACAATATACAATATACATATATATTCGTGTATTTGTGATTTGTAGAACGTCGTTGTCATCAGAAATATGTAAGAAATTAAATATTTCTAGATGATCATCCGAAGATGGAAAAATAATTACGATTCCAAAAAAAAACAAATGACAATTACAACAGTTTTTGTGTTCCAATATTGTACATCTAAAGAATAAACATACTCGTATTACCCGCCAAATTAAAGAGCAGCTACCAATCGTTAAAAGTCCCTATACCGACGCGTCACTGAGGTATTAAAATATTCAATTTATATAATAAATCGTATGAAACATTTATTAAAATTGTGATAAATTGTAACCGTTGACGACGATAATACAATTAAACCTTGCGCTTTACTCTCCTAATGTACTGGTAACAACGATGGTAAAATCAAACTTATTCAAGATTTTTTATGAACGTAACGTGGCAGATTTATAGATACAAATGATCCTTCGAGGATACCTCCCATTGTGCGCATGCGCTGTTGGCAATATCCATGACTAACTAGCAGAGGAGTTAGTTGAGTTGGGCGCCAGAGCTCCGCGTGGTCAGTTGGATAGTTGGTTTGACGGTAACAAGAAAGAAGAAGGATCCGTAAGCCAGGATATTAAGAACAATGGCACTCTTCCGTTTCAGTCCAAAACGCTGTTTAGAAGTTCAGGTACGTGACGAATTTATCCACCGAAAATTGATCGGTCTTAGAACGCAATATGATGTTTGAATGATACTTTAACTAGTGCACGTTGTTCCGGTGCGAAATTCGAATGGCGAGCAGATGTTTGTCACGTATCGTTCATTTTTATGATATCAGCGTCTATATAATTAAGTCGATAATAATTTAAGAGTACACGCATTATTTATTCCTTTCGTGGCATCAGAGCTTTGGACACCGTTAAGAGTCAAAGACGCCGCGAGTTCTAGATACGGAGTAGGCGTTCTATCGACCGATGGCCTAGTAACTTATTTTATAATACGATTAGGTCTGTAGGTGGGCAAATTCGAAAAATTCCGACGAACTGTGCTCATCAGCGGTACTCGTAATTCATATTAGGCGAGATTTGCTCGCGAATCAGAGATACAACTTGCTCCGGTTGCGATTGAGAGTATTTTGACGTATTGAACGTGGCTCCAGTAAGCACCTTTCCGTAGCTCTAACAATGTACATTATTTCGGCCAAATGCAGATAATACGCGATCATGGCACTGCATTGATTTATGAAATGCACAAGTGACCTAGAGTATTACGAGAACGATACAGCGAATTCATGCTACATAATTTTGAAAGAATTTACATAAAATTGTATTTTAAGCGACATAAGATTTACCTGACCGACGGAACTTTGCATTAATTTAGCTAAGCTCAATAGTAGTTACGTAATAAATATATAGAAGGCACGCAATCCATACTATCCACTCTAAATTACCAATCAAACAGAAATAATAGTTTGATAAACGATTTATAGGTTTAGACAGTATTCAAAGAAAAATACTATTTTTTCATATTTCCATGCAATAACATCAAATTAATTTGCAAAGTGTTTTCCACGCATACGGAAATATACGTTTGAATAGAAAAATAATTCGTAGCAATGCTGTGCACTTCATATTTATAAAACCCGTCGGTGTGTGTAAAACATTATGTCGACGTTCGGTTTCTTACAGCTTGAAATGCAGAATTTCTTGCGACTGCGGATGTGACAGAACGCGAAATTTTGGCTTCAGTCATTCACACTAAAAATAAAAGGTCGTTCGATTCGCCCGAAATTGAGAGCTGTCAGTCGATTTCTATTACGAGGGATTTTTTCGGACTCGTGCAGCACGGCTGTCTACGTAGCCAAACATGAATCCTCAACCAAAATGGTCCGTTGTCAGATTATGAGATCTCACGTTTGTAGGTCACAAGAACACGCTTCGCGCGAAATACTTTCGCGAGAGGATCTCCTTCGGTCGCACAGATGCCCATTGAAGAGTGCACGGCAATTACAATTTCGTAAGGCACGATAATTTTAGCACGAATTCGAGGTCAAAATCTGTTTCGTTCTCTTGATCTACATTGGTCGTGACCTGTTCATGACAGACACCTACTTATCGATCGAATTTCGAATCGGTCAAGCATTAGACCAGCGATGTCCATTCTTTTTTGTAACCAATGAAAGACACGTTTTTTTTTCACAACCTTTTTCCTTACTGGGATGAACAAAATAAAATAATGTTTTCTAAGTCGAAACTGCAAGTTAGAACAAGAGATAAATACCATATATTTCTATTTAAAAATATATACGCAGTACTAATGGCTAATTTCAATTATCGAAGCTTCTGGATATCAGTATCAAAAATACGCTCTACAATAAAAATTCTAATCTTGTGCAAATCGTCGTGGTATCATTTCATAAGCGACAATATACAGTGGGTGTAGAAAGTATTCCTACACCGATCAATTTCCCAAAAAACTTTTCTGTGAAATTGTACTTTCTTAACTTATTTTTTTTTGTACTCAATGATATATTACATATTCTCGGAAGTCTCTAAGATAGGTATAGTCCAAACAACATTTACTAATTAATATAATTTGTGAAATTAACAAAAAAATGCGAAAACTGGGTAAAAGTATAGAAGCAATAAGTATTTGTACGATTCTTATGACGAACCATTTAAAGTAGAGTTTGTAACGTAAACACATTCATTTATTGTTCCGTACGAATTAGAAAACATCAAATTACCAGTAAAGTACTTTTAACATTTTCGACGCCAAACATATACTCATGACAATATTTACGAAGCTAAAATTTTGTTCTTATGCAATTGGGAACTATACATATAATTCAATATTCGCGTTAGTATCTAGTTTTGCAACCTCGTCAAAATTTACAAATCCTATCCAAACTTGTTTACTTTAACATCTGATCTTCAAAATAATTTTTTTAATTCCTTTGGGAAAAATCCCTGTCACCTATATATGGGTGACGTGGCGAACAACTTGTTAAAAAAGGTTCTAATAGAGGAATGGAAAAAGATCCCACTTCGAATAGCTAATAATTTAGTTAATTTAACGCTTAGAAGAGTTGCAATAATTATAAAATCAAAAGGAAATCCCACGAAGGATGTATTATATACTTAAAAATTAATATAGATTTCTTTTTTTTTTTTAATGAAGTTTTAAAAATTAAACTGTAGTGCGAATACTTATTGCTTCAACATTTCTATCGATTAATTGTCTTTTTCTTGTTAATTTCGCAACTTAAATAAATAGCAATTTTTTTTTTGTAATCTATCTATTCTAGAGATTTCCGAGAATATGTAGAATGTCATGGTTTATAATAAATAAGTTAATAAATTATAATTTTACATAGTTTGTTTGGAAATTGATCAGTGTACGAATACTTTCTACACCCACTGTATGTACACGTAGGTATCGGTTAGCGTCGTTTAATATTTAATCACATTGTTCGTTTAATTCCACTCCCCCGTGTTGCTTGAGGACGAAGCATCGCGCTTAGTATAAAGTTTACGTCTATTCGCAGTGATTTTTGGCAGATTCGAAAATTTCTCAGCCAGCTTATAGATGGTCTGGCCGATTACCTAATGTCATGGATATACGTGCTCGACCTTGGGATCGCGTAACGCTTTGCCTCGGAAGCGACCATTCTTTTTTCTTCTATAGAACCGAACGGTTTATTGTTAACATTTTCTCGAGTTAATGCAAGCTGTCGACACGCTGAATTGTGATCGCAGCTTAAGTTCTCGAGTTTTATCGATTGTCTATTCATTATAAGGGTCTATTAATGCGCTCGCTATAAATAATGAGAGGTATTGAATAATAGAAATGCTATGATACCTCGGCCAAGAGCAAACAACGTCCACTATAGACACAATTAAAATCATTTGCGATAACTGAATCTGAATTGATTTTATTTTCGTATTCTTTTTAACAATTTTACAGAGCGTCTTAATTTTGTTTTGGTCACTGCAGGAAACTATTATTAAAGCTTCAGCTTTTAATCACCCCTGAATTTTTTATTCGTTAATTTCTAAACTTAACTACCCTTGGTACAGATTACCAAACAAAATTCCGTAACCTTAGAATTTGATCATTTTAATTAATCATTTTAATTCAGAATCTTTCCTTTTAATTACAACATTGGAGTCTTATGGACGTTTACGAACATCGCTGACCAGGAACTTTCAGTTCAATTCTCTACTATTAGTTGTAATCGTCAGCCGCCGACAAGACGGTTTACATTTTAGTGTTAATAAAGACTGGCTCACGCTAGACACCCTCTTCGGTCATTTTAGCGCCATTTGACGATTATATGGCGCGAAATCAATTAGATAATTGTGGTTCGCGGGTGTATTCTATCTGGTGATGCCCTTCACAAGCTCGATAGTTATGTAATCAGTGATACCGAGCGCTGTATGGCACATGTGAAGTTGAGAACAATTAATTTAAAAGACTGCCCTCTGATTAAAGTGAGATTAACGTTAATCCTCCTCGTTCGCCTATAGATTTCGATAACAATTCCATTACTTTAAACATAAATTTTGTTATAGAACCCTAGTCAATTAAATTGTATTAGAAGATTAAATTATAAAATTTCGCGTCAAAGAACAAGAACCCAAATGTAACAGTCCGTAAACTGTTTAAGTCACAGCACTCGTGCCCGTCGACTTAATTATTTTAAACTGTCTTACTCATAGCGTGAAGAATCTTAAGATATTCAATTATGCTGTTAAGTTGTTGACGCCCAAACTGCAACCGCGTGGTTCCATCCCAAAACGTGTTACGTAATCTCAACATCAGTCGATGTTGCCTTAATGTTATTGCAATGGTATAGAACTGTTGTTACAATACGCGATATATTGTATCGATGCAAATTTATTTATCAACCTGAATCGTCAATGAAATTTATAATAAATAATTGCAGCGCTAAATTTTCCTTTCACTGTATAAAAATCGTAACGTATTTACTGTTACAATATTATCACAAAGGATTTCCGAAAGGAACTTAAGGATTTTATTTTTTAATAAAACACGTGTAGAATATATCCAATTTTTTATTTTAAACGAAAGTGCACATGATTGCAGTTAACCAGGAAAGATAATATCGTTCAACGCTTTGTGTACTGTATTATTTATGACGAGTCTTAGAACAGAACCTTCAATGTTAGTATAATACTGTTACAAGATTTATTAAATGCCTATATACTCTATATATGATTTATATACTCGAAGTAAGCATTGTAAATAGATAACCAACGACACTGTTAAGTGATTGCGATAGTTAAACACTGAAATTTAAAAGCCTTGAAAGCATATGAATGGGTTACCAGATAAGGTGTCAAATATCTACCTCGATTACGCTGATAGGCACATTTTATTATAAAAATAATAAAATTCTAGAATCCCTTTTAAAAAACTGTTCCTGCATAGTAATTTATTCCGTTTCGAATTTCAATCCTCGATGAAGATCGTGTTTTGTTGACGGTATTCAGGCTCGAACACGTTTGAAATCGCTGAAGATCGAAATTCCTACGTGAACACGAGCGAAGGTCAGGAATAATGGGGATAATGCAGCGAAGAAAGGAACGCATTCTCGCTGCGAAGGTTTCGATTCTGCGAGACTCTGGCCAGGAAAGGAAACAAGGTCAAAGATCATTTATATCG